AAAAAAAAAAAAAAAAAAAAAAGTAGAAATCTTTGTCAATGGCGAACAGTGATGGGCGTTCTCAGACTCTTCCCTGATCAGAGGAGGCTGATGGAGGAAGCGCTCAAACCAGAGTTTTTAAAAAATTGTTTAAATTTGAAATTTTAATTGGAACAAACATAAGAGGCAGGTGAACCCTATGAGGATTGTACCTTTCTAAACAGAAGGAAAAAATAAAGGGGAGAAAAGCCAAGAAAGAGAAAGGCAAGAAGGAAAAAGTGGGGAAATGAAGAAAAAAATTTTTTTGAGACAGGATCCCACTATATTGCCCACACTGGCCTTGAATTCCTGGGCTCAAGCAATCCCCCTGCCTCAGCCTCTCAAGTAGCTCCCACAGGTGCCCACCACTACTGGCTAATTTTACTGACCACATGCACTATGCTAGGCCTGTGTTTAGATTTCAAATTACCAGGTTTATTGAGACAGGGTCTCACTATGTAGTTGAGACTGACCTGGAACTCACTATGTAGCCCAGGCTGGTCTCGAACTCACAGTGATCCTCCTGCCTCAGCTTCTTGAGTGCTGGGATCACAGGTGTGCGCCACCACGCCTAGCATAAAATCCCAGTAACAGAAACTCTGTAGCTAGCTACAATTCATCATCCCACTTCATAGATGACAGAACAGAAGCCAGGAACAGGTCTCTTGCCCCACAGCCATCAGGTGGCAGAGACCAGGGGTCACTGGGAAGCCCACAGCAGAGGCTGGTCTCAAACACTCGTGTCCCCACCCCGTTATCGGAAGCCCTGTCATACTTGACAGATCCTCCATGCTGCAGGATGAAGAAGGCTCCTGCGATATCTGGGCCATATCTGTCCTGGATGTTAGTGAAGGATCTGCCAAGAAAACGGTAGTAAAGATGAGGCCATGGCGCACCACATCCCTCCCCAGGCCCCAGTGCTGCTGAGGGGCAGAGTCCGGGCACCAGGCAGGTAACAAACATGAAACCAAGTGCAAATTCCACAGGAGAGATGACTGGGAGTGGCGGGGATGGCAGAGTCTGATTCACTTTTGCATTAAAAAGTGCTTCCTGGAGGCGGTGAGATTTATACACTTGAATGGTGACAAGACCGAGGGGGCCAGGTTCAGAGACTTGAATTAGGAAGGCCACATCCATGGCAGTTAGGGTGCTGCGGTGGTGGAGGTGAGGGCGTCCTTGGCAGGGGTCTCAGAGCTCAGTGGGGGCCAGGTTTCAGGCCTTGGAGAGCAGCTCTTATTCTAGATGCAGTCAGGACCGTGAGGTTTTAAGAGTTATAAATGATTACTGTTTTACCTATTTTTGTATGTGATACTGAAGTACTGGCTGGATACATCTTCATTTATTTATTTAGAGTCAAGGTCTCACTAAGTTACTAATTTGCCCAGGCTGGGCTCAAACTTTTGATCTTCCTGTCTCAGACACCCCAAATGCTGGGATTATAGACATGCCACCATGCCTGACTAAAAATTTTTTTTCCCCCCAGTGGTGCTGGATTCAAACTCAGGACCTCTATCGTGCTAAGCAAGTGCTCTACCACTGAGTTAGACCCCAGCCCCTCCATTTTACTTTAAGAATCCTTCAGCTGCTTTGTTAACATAATACAGAACAAGGAGTATAAGGTCAAGATTCTAATACAGTAATATAACCTTAAGATGAAGGGGCTTGGGGAAGGATGAAAATGGGTCACATTTGGAATATTCTAGTTTTGATGGAAAGAATGTAGGCCAGGAAACCAGGAGGGGAATTAGGGAGGATTCCTTTATGCATTTTAAAAATCAATTAGTTTTGAGCAGGGTCTCACTATGCAGTTCAGGCTGCCCTTGAACTCCCGGGATCTTCCTGCCTCAGCCTGCTGCATGCTGGGATTACAGGTGTGGGGCACCACACCCAGCAGGAAGGACTGCTTCACAACTGGCTGAACAAGTGGGTGGGCACTGGCACCTGTTCCTGGGAAGCGGAAAGCTTATTAGCAGATTTTTCAGGGAGAAACGCAGGGTTTGGTTTCAGCCACGTTGGATATGGATATAAGATGCAAGTTAGGCCCCCAGGTGGGGCTGGTGGCAGCAGGCCCTGTATGAGCTGGAGCCCTTTGTGGTCTGGAGAAGCCCTAGTGCTGTCCAGGAGGGGTGAGCAGCAGGGTCTCCAGAGGGTCCTGCAGACCTCAGGTCCTCACCTGTTGTCCAGGTACAGCTTCTGCATCTGCTTCTGGAGCATGAACTCCCTCAGAAACTTCACGTCATAGAAATGGTCAGACAGGAACTGCAGCAGCGTCCTTCTCTTCCTCTCCGGGGCCACCATGCCACTCAGATCACGGAAGCCCCTCTTGCCCCCATTCCATTTTGGGGGTATCAGGCGCAGGAACTGGGGAGAGGGAGAGGAAAAGAGGAGTTGAGTCTGGAGCTGGATCCCCTTAGTTCTTGCTCCATGACCTTCACCTCCCTGCTTTGTGGACCCTGCAAAATTCTTTAAGAATCTCTAGCTGGGTGTGGAGGTGCACACCTATCATCCTGGGGCTTGGATGGCTGAGGCAGGAGGATTGCTGTGAGTTCAAGGCCAGCCTGAATTACAAAGTGAGACTGTTTCAAAAAACAAAACCAAGCCTCCAAATTTTGGGCAGGGCAGTAACTCAGGGGCGGGGCATCTGCTTAGTAAGCACAAGACCATAGGCACCAAAACAAGACTGCCAAATTCCATCTCTGGATTCCAAAAATTTCCCCATGTTTTCTCCAAGAGTTGATTAGAGCTCTGTCTCCTTAGTCCTAAATTCCTTAATTGATTTAGCCAAATATTCTTGGTTTCCCGAAATTCTTCCCCTAATTTTCTCAAATCCTGATTTTTTTCTCTCAAAACTTCCATCATCAGACTTCATTTCCCACAAATTTGGCCCTTAATTTTACTCAACTCTCTGGGGTCTGACTGACCCATTTCCTTCTTCCCAAACATAATCTTAAATATCACTGAGTTTTTTGGCAGTTGGTGCTAATGATCGAACCCAGGGCTTTGTGTATGTTCTACCACTGAGCTACACTCCCAGCGGCCCCTCCCTCTAAATTTATTTCCAAAGAAACCTTAACATACCATGGACAAGAACCTTACACGTGAAAAGAACAAACACTTTAAGGAGAAGATTGGAAATTGGAGCAGAGTGGCTTCCAGGAGAAGCCGACAAATTCTTTAATCTCTCTTCCAAGCCTAATTTGTCCCAAATTTTTGCTTTAACCAAATTTACTCTCATTTTCCCCAGATTCTCCTTGCTCATTTATTTGAGACAAGGTCTCCTATATATTCAGGCTGGCCTTGAATTTACAAAGATCTTCCTGCCTCAGCCACTTGAGTGCTGGGATTATGGCTGTGCACTATCTCAAATTTCTTAAACTCAATTTCTTTAATTTCCCCTAAATTCATTCTTTGATTTTACCCAAGTCCACTTTTTGGTGACAAAAGTGTTAAACCTCTTGACAACAAAATTTCTCTGCAGTCATGAAGCATGGAGCTAAACTGCCTAGAAACAAACCAGACAAAGTATAGGACCTATTCATCCCTCCAAATGAGCCCTGATCCATCTCAAAGAGTTAATGTGTGTAGATATTCTTCTCTAAACGAAAGGTGTTTCTGTGAGACCAGAGTATACCATCTTGCCCATTTGCAAGTTTTATTTTTTGAGACAGGGTCTCACTGTGTAGCTCAGGCTGGCCTTGAACTCACTGTGTAACCCACGCTGGCCTCAAACTCGCAGTGATCCTTCTGCCTCAGCTTTCCCAGTACTGGTATTACAGGCACGCACCACCATGCCTGGCTTGATGTGCAACTTTGATATACAACTTTAGTTACAACTTATGTGTTCCTGGAATATTAACAAGGAACAAGAATCATGGAAAATGCATATCTAGAATGTCTCTATTTGGTATCTCAGACCTTTTCCCATGTCTTCAATCTGTTATAAAAACTTTAACCTGTCATCATGTCTCAATCTTTCTTGGAACTCTCCCACTGATTCTTTCTCCCTCCCTCCCCACCCTCACTAGTTTGAGACAGGGTCTCACTATGTAGTTCAGGTTGGGATTGAACTCACTATGTAGCCCAGGCTAGTCTTGAACTTTCGGTGACCCTCCTGCTTCAGCCTGCAAATACAGGTGTGCACCACCACTCCCAGCAGCCTAATTTTCTTCTGTTTCCTGACTGCTGGTAATTGTTATCTAAACTAATTATTTTACCAACACCGGCCCTCCCTATACTATCTCCTATAGCACTCTTAAAGACTACCCCAGTTTTTTCTTTTAATTTCCCTCAGGTTTTCCCCCTGAAATTCCCAAATTCACTTTTTGGTTCCTCCCAGCAGCCCCCACTCCACCACATCTTTGGTTTGCTATCAAAATTTCTAAATTTCCCACGAATTTTCTTCAAATTTATTTTTTGATCTCTAATCTGGGACCTAATCTCATACTCTCAAACCAATCCCTTCCAACCACTCGTCCATTCTAGGCCTCACCCTCGCCTGCCCACTGGCTACCAGTACGTGCATTCCTATCCCTCCCTCTGATTGGCTGGACGCTGCTCTTTTGGGAACATATTACTCATTCCCATTGGCTTCTCTCTGCCAAGTCTTCGCCCCCCCTTGCTCTCTAGAGCTCAGCCGCCTGCTGCGACCCTTCACAGATCCCGCCGGCCCCTGGCAGCCTCAGGTGTACACTCCCATTGCTAGGCTCAGCGGGGACATCCGCTTCCACACGGCTTCCCCAAGGCTCTTTGCTCCCCTGGACGCCTACAGAGTTCCTGTAGGCCGAGGGTGCAAAGGGGACATCAACTTTAGGGCTTCTAGGAGCTCCGGTCACCTACCGCCTTGGGCGCCGCCATCTTGCTGGTCGTACGTAGCCGGAAGGGGCCGGTCTTTCCGCCCAACCACCGGGCTCTTTCGGGATATTTTTTCTCGTGGCCACGCCCTCCTTTTCCTTAAAGGCGCACGCACTAATTAAACTCCGGGGTTTAGGGATTACTCAGAGCATCCTTTCCACGGGCTTTAAAACGGAATTCTACAAGTCCTTCTCTGGGAGAGGTGGACAGTCTTTCCTGCTGGGGTATTTTTCTTTTCCTAGACTGCAGTTGCAGCCTCCCTGAGCTTCCTTGTTCCTCCAGCTCTCAGTTGCTATGTATCTATTAGTGAAAAAACTGCCCACTGTTCTCTCTCTCCCTCTCCC